GTCCCTTCTAACCCCCATTATCTCATACTGGCTTCTTTTTTGTTTTGTTTTGTTTTTTGAGACCGAGTTTCTTTGTGTAATAGTCCTGGCTCAGCACATAAGAGCTATGGCTTGTTCTGCTTCTCTGATCTTCCAGCACTCACCTCAATACTCAGCTACAGGTTTGTTTTTATTAATAAGACCTTTTAAGATTCGTGCTACCTAGGTTGACCCCACCTTGGTCTGCTGGCAGTGGTCCAGAGGGTGCCTGGACTCTGTTGACCAGCCTAGCAAATAACCTAGCTGTCATCATAGAACCTTTGTCCAGTGACTGATGGAGGCAGATACAGAGATCCACGGCCAGGCACCAGGCTGAGCTCCGGGAATCTGATTGATGAGAGAGAGGAGAGATACTGCAGGTGAGGGACATCGAGATCATGATGGGATGACATGCAGAGATGACTGGCCACACTAGTGGAAGCCCATGAACTGTGGACTGGTGGCTGTGGAGCCCCCATGGGACTAGACTAGGCCCTCTGGATACAGAAGATGGTTGTTTGGCTTGAACTGTTTGGGGGGCACCCAGGGATCTGTCCCTGGTCTATGGGCAGGCTTCTGGAATCTGGTGCCTGTGGTGTGACACCTTGCACAACCTTGGTGGAGTGGGATGGGGCTTGGACCTGCTGTAGCTAGAGTTTTCCTGCCTGGCCCACAGCCAGGACAAATCTCTCTCACCTGCCAGTCCCACAGCCGCTCAAACCCGACCAAGTAAACACAGAGACTTATATTGGTTACAAACTGTATGGCCGTGGCAGGCTTCTTACTAACTGTTCTTACAGCTTAAATTAATCCATTTCCATTAATCTATACCTTGCCACATGGCTCGTGGCTTACCGGCATCTTCACATGCTGTTTGTCATCGTGGTGGCTGGCAGTGTCTCTCTCACTCAGCCTTCCACTTCCCAGCTTTATTCTCCTCCTTGTCCCGCCTACACTTCCTGCCTAGCCAATGGCCAATCAGTGTTTTATTTATTGACTAATTAGCAACACATTTGCCATACAGCACATCCCATAGCAACCTGCCTAGGCTCAGAGTGCTGGGCTCTGCTGACTCCCCATGGGAGACCTCGATTTGGGGGATGTGGGGATGTGGGGTGGCTTGGGAAAGAGGGCTGATGGGTGGGAGGAGGCAGGAGGGGGATCTTTGGATAGTGGAGTGAGTAGAAAATTTCTTAAAGAAAAATGAAAAAAAAAAAAGATTCGTGCTACATCTGGTGCCCAACTTGTTGGGTACCAGCTCAGACTCGAGCCACACTGCCAGTTGTGGTGGTGCACGCCCATAGGATTTACTGAAGGAGGCAGAGGCGGGAGGATCCTGAGTTTGAGGCCAGCCTAGGAGGCTTGTTAAGGAGAAGCTTCAGCCAGGGCCGAGCCACAAACGGTGGTGGGACCATGGAGGCAGCGGTTGCTGCTCTGAGTTGCTGGCTTCTTCTCATCGTGTTGGTGACTATGGTGATGCTGCTACCTAGAATGAAGGGTTTACTTCTGTTTGTTCAGAGAATTGCCAGGACCATCGTGTTACAAGAAAGCAATGGCAAAGGTCAGTTTGGAAAAGTTTGGCAAGACAAATGGTGGGGAGAAATTGCTGTGAAGGTTTTCTCTTCTAGGGAAGAACATTCATGGTTCCGAGAGACAGACATTTATCAGACTGTGATTGCTCCAAACCACTGAGGAGGCACAAAAAAAATCTGCAGAGAACCATGACCACACCTAACAGCAACTTTGAAATCTTCAAAAAGATGACAGGAGTCCACAACAATGATTCCATATGGACCATGGTAAAACCATTAAGCTGATTAACACCACGGAAAGATCAACTTTGGATTACAAACTGCTCAGGACAATTTCGAGATGATCCAGATTCATAGGCTACTTGAGCAACGACTTGAGACAAGCCCTACATTTTCCCATTATGCAGAGACTGGACAAATGATATAACTAACTCTCTCAGGACTTGACAATTAACCCAAATATTGTCTTTTCAGGATTCCCCTAAAGATGTCTTCACCCCCAGAAAGCAGGAAGTAATTTTAAGAAAACAATGCCCACATTCCCAACAGGTGTGTGTGCGGGGGTGGTTTTTGGTTGTTTAATGAGTTATGGATATTGTAATTGTTTATGATGGTAGGTTGCAAGTTGTTAATTGTTGGTGGTCAGGAAAAAAGCTGAACAAGGAGATAGATTCAGAATTTTTGTTTGAAAAAAAGAAAAAGAAAAAAGAGAATATAGATATGAGGTATATCTTGAATCTACTCTGAGAAAAAAGATGAAGAAATAATAGAATAAATGGGTAGATCATTGAATCTACTTTAAAAAGAAAAAAGGGGAAGATACAAAAATGACAAAAGGTAGGTTACTGGATCTATTATGAAAAGAAAAAGAGAGAATATGGATATGATAAGATAAAAAAAGGAGATTATTGAATCTACTTTTAAAAATGAACTACTTGTTTTAAACAAGATAAGTAATGAATTTTTTTGTCTTAGTTTATCAAATGTTACTGGACTGGACATTGTATATATATACATGTATATGTATATACATGTATATATATATATGTATTTACATTTATATATTTATAAAATGGAGTTTGTCTGAATCTGTCAAATGTTAATGGACTAGACATTGTTAATATAGTTCTTGACTGTATATATTGTATATACTTACTGGATAGTTTTTCTTGTATTAGTTATAAACTTTTCTAAATTTTAGACAAAAAAGGGGAAATGTGGTGATATTGTGTTCCCCAAAATATTGTGCACCCTAATAAACTTATCTGGGGTCAGAGAACAGAACAGCCACTAGATACAGAGGCCAGAAAATGGTGGCACACACACCTTTAATCCTAGCATTCCAAAGGCAGATATCCATCTGGATCTCTGTGAGTTCAAAGCCACACTGGAAAGAGCCAGACATGGTGACTCATGCCTTTAATCCTAGAAAGTGATGGCAGAAAGCAGAAAGGTATATAAGGCGTGAAAACCAGGAGCTAGAGCAGGTTAAGCTTTTAGGCTTTTGAGCAGCAGTTCAGCTGAGATTCATTCTGGATGAGGACACAGAGGCTTCCAGTCTGAGGAAACAGGATCAGCTGAGGAACTGTTGAGGTGAGGTTAGCTGTGGCTTGTTCTGCTTCTCTGATCTTCCAGCATTCACCCCAATACCCAGCTCCAGGTTTGATTTTATTAATAAGACCTTTTAAGATTCGTGCTACAAAGAGCACTTTCTACTCTTGCAGAGGATTCTAGTTCAATTCTTAGCAACCACATGGTGGCTGGCGAACACCGTCTGCTGAGACAACGCCATCTGGCCTCTGGGTTTGTCCATCATATACATACCATCTAACTCAGCACCCCAGCACCACTTTTTTCCCACTTCTCACCTCTTCCCTGGATAAAAACCAGGTAGGTGGTGAGTTAAGTTTGTTTCTATGCTCAAGATCCCCCTACCCTTCCAGCAAGACTCTGGACAGCCACTATCAGCTGCTATCAGAAACTGCGCCTGCACAGGACGCTTTAACTGCACCTGTGGCTCACCAGGCCTGACCTTGGGAGGGGTGAGGCCTGGGTTTTGAGACACCAGTGGGGATGGGAGTGAGGGTAGAAAGACAGAGGACTGGGCAGCTGTTCACTAAAGGAAAAGAGAGAATGAGATCCACATAGCCTCAAACCAGCCAATGAGACAGCTTATTCCTAAATATGGTTGACCAGGGAACCAGAGATTAACCTGGCTTCACCTTTGGGGTCTCATGATATAGAAGGGTAGAGAAGAAGACGTGTTCTATCTTGCTTGTTCAAAGAGTCAGGCTGCTGTGTGCTTTAGGAGAACAATTATCCTGTGGAATGTGTTTAGTGAAGACTGGAAGGTCACCAGGATGTAATCCTGACTTCAGGTCTTTTACTAACAGTCTATTGTGGTTTCCTATATCCAACTTCTTTTTTTTAAGGTTTATTTATTTGTTTGTTTATTTATTATGTGTTCTGAATGTATGGCTGCAGACCAGAAAACCGAACCAGGTCTCATTACAGATGGTTGTGAGCCATCATATAGTTGCTGGGAATTGAACTCAGGACCTCTGGAAGAACAGTTGGTGCTCTTAACCTCTGAGCCATCTCTCCAGTCCCTATATCAAGTTCTTATGAAGAGCACACAGCAGAAGCACTTCAAGGCCAGTGTTTTTTGAGGGAAGGTGGTTTTTTTTTGGTTTTGTTTTGTTTTTTGAGACAGGGTTTCTCTGGCTTTGGAGCATGCCCTGGAACTGGTTCTATAGACCTGGGTGGCCTCGAACTTGCAGAGATCCACCTATCTCTGCATCTCCAGTGCCAGGGTTAAAGGCCTGCATGGACACCACCAGCAAGTTTAGTATTTTTGGAGACAAGATGATCCCTTTAGTGCTCATATGACACTGTGTTTTTTTCTCTTCTCTCCCCTCCTAACTCTCTGTCTTTCTTTCTTTCCCTCCCCACAGCTCCACTCCCCCCTTTCCTTTCCATTTTCCTTCCTCATCTCTCTACTCTCTTCCCCTTTCTGTCCCCCTACCCACTGTGTATCTCAGGCTGGCTTCTTCTTTATTTTTATTGATTGATTGATTGATTAGTTTCTTTTTTAAAGAAAGGGTTTCTTTGAGTAACAGTTCTGGATGTCCTGGAACTTGCTTTTTGGACAACGTGTGCCTTGAACTCAAGAGATCTGCCTTCCCAGATCTACACCCCAGAGTCCTGGGATGAAAACTGCTCATCACCCACTCTTCAAGGTGCTTGCTTCCTGGAAACATCTTTCCTATTAATCTGCAGCTTCCAGGGCTAAATGAATGATGTTCTCTGAGGATCTAGTTATGTTCCATAGACAGAGAATACAATCACCAAAGCTGAGTCTTTCTATATGTGCTTTATTAGAGGGGGCAGTGAGTAGCGACCACAACCAGGCAGGCAGGGATGGTGTAGGCAGTAACTGAGGTGGTTAGTCTAACATTTAATGCCTTTGTTCTCCTTGTTGTATGGAGCCTGGGAGAAGCAGATGGCGGCTTCACGGTCACAGTTGCAGATCAAGTCCTCACAGGTGTTGTTTCTGCCTGGAGAGAAACAGGGAAGGAAGATGAGTGGAGCCCATGACCCTGCTCCCTACGATTTGTAGCCAAAAGAAACCGGTGGCCCTCCCAAGGGTGCAGCCTTTGGGTTGAGAGACAAAGCACATAGAAGGACATTGGGCTGTTCAAATTGCTGAAACACACAGTAAAAAAAATCATTTGTTGTGGGCTGGAATGACAGTGGGGTTGGTAAAGTGATTGTCAAAAAGCACGAGGGCCTGACCTAGAAGGCACAGAGCCCATGTAAAAAAGCAGGATGTGCTTGGGGCATCTGTAACTCTACTGGGAAGTGGGAAACACCAGTCCCCACAACTTGTTGGTCAGTCAGGCTAGCTAAAGGTGAGTGTCATGTTTAGTGAGAGACCCAGGCTCTAAAGACATGGTGGAGAGTGACTGAAGAAGGCATGGGATGCCAACTCATTCCTATACATAAAAATAAATAAACATGGATATTTAATCCTAAAACTCAGAAAACACCAAATATTAACTACCACTTCTAAAATCACATGATTTAAGACAATCCTCCTGCCTCCACCTCCCAAGTGCTGGGATGGCAGGTGTGCACCATCACACTCAGTTCATGGGTTCTGGAGGTGGAACCCAGAGTTCTGTGCAGTGCACGCTAGGCAAGCACTCTGGCCACTGATCTATATTCCCAGCCCTCTGAATCCTCACCTGTAAAATGGGAATGATAAATCTTGCCCTGCACAGGTGTTTACTCCAGTATCTGGCTTATAGCCAATGATTCAGCTCTCCATTGTCTAGTCAGTATGGAGTCAGTATAACACAGCAGCTAACAGGAGAGGCTTTGGGCAGGGAAGATGGCTCAGGGAATAAAGGCCCTTGCTGCCCAGTCTGAACTCAGGTTCCATCCCCAGGACTCACATGGTTGAAAGAGAGAACAGACCTCTGCAAGTTGTCCTGAGACCTGCACACCTGTGTTGTGCACAGAAATGCCTCCCCCAGAAATAAATTAAATCTTGAAAAGCTTTTTAAAAAGATACTTTGGAATGATGTAGATCTGTGTTCCAGAACCAAATGCCATCACTTCTAAGATGGGTGACCTTGGGCAAGTGACCCTGCCTCATCTTCCTCATCAGTGACCTCATCTATATTTTAGTATCTACCTGATAAGGTTGTTGTGAGGTCACATGAGACCAAGGAAATGACTACTAAATGGTGACTGTCCTTGTTACTTTTTTGCCCCTTACAAAATGCCAGGGTGTTGCACAGAGTTTAAATGGTCAGTTGGTAGAGCATGAGACCCTTAATCTCAGAGTCTGAAGTTCAAGCCCCATGTTGGGCACCAGATGTTGCACGAATTTTAAATGGTCTTATAATAAAATCCCAGAGCCAGATATTGGGGTAAGTGCTGAAAGATCAGAGAGACAAAGGAACAAGCCACTAGAGAAACTTCTCATCACTGCTGAATCCTCAGACTGAATAGAAGGTGAGATCCTATCTCCACAAATCCTCTGACGGAAAGTCTCTGAGTCCTCAGTTGAAAAGCTTCCTCAGTCAAAAAGGCCCTAGTTCCTGTCTCCTCATGCCTTATATGCCTTTCTCTGTGCAGCCATTCCACTTCCTTCCTAGTGCTGGGATTAATGGTGTGTGTGCTTCCCAAATACTGGTAGCAAAGGCATGAGATCTCAAGTGCTGGGATTAAAGGTGTGTGACTCCCAAGTACTGGATTAAAGGTGTGTGCCACCACTGCCTGGCTATGTTTCTCTCCTAGACTGAATCAATCTCATGTAGTCCAGTGTGGCTTTGAACTCACAGAGATCCAGATGGATCTCTACCTACTGAGTGCTAGGCTTAAAGGTGTGTGCCACCACTGCTGGACCTCCATGTTTAATCTAGTGGCTGACTCTGCCCTTTGATCCTCAGGCAAGCCTTATTTGATGCACAATATATCACCACATCAAGGCTGCAGGGGGCTGTGGGAATGCACATCAGTGACAACTTGTGTTAAACAAATCGACCCACCAGACACACTTGATAGGAGCCCCACCTGGGAGGCCATGGGGTCACTAGCTGTAGAAACCAGATGTTTTCTGCCAGTAATTTTTCTGATGTGCCACTACATTTCTTCCCTAAGAACTGCTATGGTTGTTTTCCCACTGCTTGTGTGTTTATCTCAAGAATATATTCCATCTTTGGGCACACTTATAGCTGTGGATATTATGAAAGATGATTTCTGTTTAGGCTGTATAAATTTGATATGTAGAAACAGTACTAGAATATTTTACATTGCTCAGACTGACAGAATTCTCAGTCACAAAGACAGCCTTTTACACACACAGCTAATTTTGAACTTCAGAACAAATTCAAAGCAGACTGAATTACCCCTGCAGAAAATACTCAAAACTAATTGTCAAGTGTTGTTATTGCTAATCACGGCCAGGCTGTTCACACTGAGACATAGCTCCTTGCAAGTTCTCTTTCTGCCCGGACCCTGACAGCTCAAGGTTCAGCCATTGTTTACTGTCTGGATCCCTCACTATCTTAGAGCTATGTGCATGGGTCAGTGTGACATCACTAGCCTAAGAGAAACTATGTGACTTATCTTGTGTTGTGAGAATGGGTAGGCCCTGAAAATGTAACTTATAATTGTGGAGAGCTTGGCTGTGAGGCAGCAGCAGCAGTGGTGTGGAGAGAGACGGCTGTGGAGAGCTGAGTGAAAGAGCTGTTACCATGAAGGAAGAGCTGTGTGAAGGAACTGTGGAAAGAGCCGGCCGTGAGTGAGGGTGTGTGTGTGTGTGTGTGTGTGTGTGTAGAAGGAGCTAAGGAGAGAACATGAATAGCTAGGCAGGAGAGAGTGCAAGACAGATTTTCAGAGAGAAAAGGGGGTTGTGTGAGTGTGTGTGGAAAATGTAGCTGTATGAAAAGAGATGTAACTATGTGGAGACAGAGATTTTTCAGAGAAAGTATTTAGGAGAGAGGATTTCTTAAGTTGAAATAAAAGAGAAAGTTATCATCAGAAAGTGTGTGTGTTTCCTTACTATTTACTGCTCAGATAGACTAAGTCTAGCCCTCAGATACATAAGAACTTTTCATAAGCCCTCACCACATTTGTGGACTTTCTTGCAATTCCCTGGAGATGGCCTTGGAGCAGGCTCTCCATAAGGCAACTGATATAGGACCACGCAGAGTCCAGAGGTCCCGGAGGGTAAACCTACCACTGCAGGTGACCTCATTCCCAGAACATAAGTATGTATAGGAGGTGATGTAGGGGTTGTCTAAGAGGAATTTGCAGCTTTCCAGCTTCTTGATCTGAGCGTGGCAGTGGTCACGAGTCTGGCAGCACCTGGAGAGAGGAAGGAGCAGCTGAGGGAGAAATATGGACCCACAGAAGGTCAGTTCTCACCTGCAGTCTTCCTCAAACATGTCAGGATGACTTAAACATGATGTTCCAGAAGTAATCTTCCTCAGGCTCGAAAATCTGTGATTTCTGTTAAGCACATATGTATTGAAAGCCATTTCTGTGAAGTGTGGTCAGTACCAGCCTTTATTCTCAGTACTTGGGAGACAGAGGCAGACGATTCTCTAAGTTTGAGATCAGCCAGGGACACATAAGTGAGACCCTGCATCCAAAAAGTGGTTTTTTAAAGCAAAGGTGCAAGAACATAGTGAATTATATATTCCAAAGTCTCGATGACATTTTAAAGAGAAAGCTGATGTTTTGATGGTGGCTGTGATGGTTTGCCATGCCCTAGTCTGGTGCCTGAGTCCAGCATTGCCCACTATTTGTATCTCACACCTTCTATTCAGGGACCACTAGATACAGGGTTCTCTTGGACTGATTTCTTTACGTGACAAGAGATGAAAATACATGCTGGAGGTGGTGATGCACTCTCAGCACTCAGAAGGCGGAGGCTAGAAGATCTCTGGTTCAAGGCCAGCATGATCTCCATAGACAGTTCTAGGACAACTAGAACTACACAGAGAACTCTTGTCTGGAAACAAAACAAACAAACAATAAACAATAAATAAACAAAACAAAATACATGATTATGGTGAATATGCATGTCTCCTATTCTTGCCTTATGAGATGTTCTGCTTGTGTCCTGTCCCCACCAACTCAGATGCTCCAGTCTCCCCCCAGATGAATCACTCACCTGTCTAAGTCTTCCGCCCGGTTGTTCCAGATGACAAAGCCACAGTAGCAGCCGTAGTAGTTATACTCCGACATGGGGAAAATTAAAGGGATTTTGCACTCGAACACATTGCCAAACTGCCACCCAGCCCGAGGGCTAATTCTGAATGTAGTAGCTCCTGCTGTAAGAATGCACAGCACACTCCATGAATCCCTCTTGGCTTTACCAGGGGTCTGATACCTGCCTGCTAGCTTCCTTATTTTGAGCCTTTGAGGTCCAGCCTCAAGGTCCTCTTAAGGGTTCATATCAGGCTGCCACAGCAGATGAAAGACATGGATATAAGTGTGCCCATAAGATTGAGATGGAATCATGAGATTACAAGTGCACATTACATGAAAATGTGTGGTAAATGGGGAGATATCAGAGCTGATCTTGCACAGTGAAATTACAGATGAAAGCAACATTTTCAGAGGTGGTGACCTACAAGCCTTGCCTGACAGGGTACCCGATCTGAGAATCAGTCCTCTGGTGGAGTGACATCTGAACTATCAATTACTACAACTGTAACTGCATCATGGCCCACAATAGATCATAACCATCACTCCTGACACTTCCTCCTTGACTCCTATCAGCTGCTGCCTCAGGAGAGCAGTGAATAGAAGGGGTGTGTGTGTGTGTGTGTGTGTGTGTGTGTGTGTGTGTGTGTGTGTGTACACGTGCGCGATTGCCCAAACACAGGTTGAAAGGAAGCTCTTGGGAGCACTCATAAATGTCATGCTACACATGAAGATATCAGAGGGCAGCCAGGCCTGAGCAGGAATGTGTCTATCAATTTGAGACAGGGAGTTGCCCTATAACCCAGGCTACCCTCCGACTTTGAAGCAAACCTCTGGCCTCAGTGGTAGGATTATAAATGTAGTCCACTGTACCAGGCTGGGCTGATTCCCCAGGACTAAGTTCTACAGACATTGCCTTTTTCCTTGCTTGCCTGCTCATTTCTCACTGTCAGGACAGACAGCCACCACACTGTGAACTGTCCTGTGGTCCCTGTGTTGAGGACCTGAGAACACTCTCCAATCAGCAGCCAGGGACAAACTGGACTCTTAGTTCAATAACCCAATCATCTCTTGAGTTTGAAAGCTTCCCCATCCCTACTCAAGCCTAGGTGAAACCCTAGCCTTAGCCAGCAGTGGGATTCATCACAATTCTAGCTAAGACCTTGAGACAGAGAAGCAGTCAACACATGCTCACTGTTTACACTGGAAGAATTGGAAGGAATCTGTTGTATGACCAGTCACAACTTATGTAGAAGAATAATGGTTAGATCATTATTATAATGTCAGCATTTGACACACTAAACTGTTTATCAGCTGAGGAATAGGTAAATGACCAGAATTCAGTCTGCAGTGGGAGACTTGCTCACCATTAAAATGCAGGAGAAGCCAGGTACAGTGGAACACACACATTATAATCCCAGCACTCTGGAGTTTGAGGCAGGTGAATATCTGAGTTCAAAGCCAGGATGGTCTATAGAGTGAATTCCAGATCAATCATTGCTATTCAAAGAAACCATCTCGTGTAAAATGCCAGAAAAAAAAAGAATTACAACCCTTGGGAGCCCATTTTCAGATTTCTAGTAGCTTTAATCAGCAGGTCTGCATAGAGAGGATGATTGGATCATGGGCCTAAGTGCAGGTGTCTGAGAGGGTCTGCACTTGGCTGTGCTGTTTGGCAGTCTTTTGCTCCACCCCCTTGGTGTTTCTATAAATACCTTAGGGCAGAGACAGTCAGAGCCCATTGAGATAGATTCCAGGTTCTCTGGAGGCTATCCTGTATTTTTTGTTTATCTTCACACTCTAAATCTTTCTATTTAATATTTCTTGCTGATCTCATTCAAGTAAACTCTGGAGAACTGTGGGGTTGGTGGGTAAGTGCCCCACAGATTGGCGCCATGTACAGGCATGAAAGAAAAGGGAACAGGGACTAAAGACAAACAGGGACTAAATACAAAAGAAAGTAATAATAGTTTTACACTGAGTTTTTGGCAAAAGTGTTGTGTTAGTTCCTGCCAGGGAAAAAAGGGACATGTCAAGTGTTGTAATGGAATATACATATATTAATAAGGGCAAGGGGTTTTATCCTCCAGAGAAAAGGAAAAAGCAGACTGGAAGGATATCCGATGCTGGAGCACAAAAATCTCCTCTATCAAGATTTCTATCTTCTCTTAATTTCTATCTGTGAAAAATAAGTATAAGGTAGGGTGTAGTAATATACTGTAGGAAAAATGTTTTAGAGCGTGTAGAAAAAAATTATTTAAGTTAGGCAACTAGACAGAAAATCTCTTCAGTTTTCTAACATTGTGGGCTATGAATGCAAACTGGGAAAAATCTTTCTTTGAGATTTATGGGTAGTAAAAAAAGCTCTTCTTTGAGCTTATCTGGCAGAAAAAAGTTTCCTATGGAAGCTTTAGGCCTGGGGACAGCTGAAATGCAGGAGAAAGTGATTTCTCCCCGAGGCAAAAATGCAGGTGTAAGAAGCCAAAAAGTTTAAAGTTCAGATGTTTTGGGAAAAGTTGGTCTTTTTCTTTCTTGGGAAAAAAACTTTTTCTTAAACTAAAAAGCTTTTCTTGGCAAATTTGGGGAAAAATCTCTAAAAAGCCTTAATCTTCCTCAAATTAAAAGCTCTCTTAAAAAACTTAAACTAAAACCTTTCAGAACTTTCTCAGAAAGACAAAAATTAGAATCACCTGAAGATATTAGTATGGGAATCACCTGTGATTCACTCTAGGGCAATATAACAAACCTCTTAGAATAGCAAAACCTCTTTAAGCTTAAAAAAATTCTCCCTGCAATAAGGGAGGCAGTCCTTGAGTCCCCAAAATCCTCTCTTCTAAGCTCTGTCTCTTCAAGCTAGTAAAAGGCAGCAGAGAATCAGAGTCCTCTGAAGAAATGTTTGGGAGAGTGCAGGTGAAGAGCCATAAAGAGCCCAAAAGGGCAGGAAACTGTTTATGTGGGAAAAGTAACAGCCAAGACTTTTCAGTAACAGCTGAGCTGAGGCATCAAGGGTTTTGTTTCTGATCAACAACAGAGAGGTAACTGGCCAGCGTCTCCGAGTTGGAGTGCATACTGGGATACTAGAGTTCCTGCAGTTGTGAACAACTTCCTGGAGCATAGAGCTGAGGCAGGAAGGTGCAAGACCCAGGGGAAAACCACTAATGAACAAGCAAAGCTAAAGGCAGCAGGAACCGCACAGTAGCCCGCTTTCCTGCAAGTCCCAGGTTGATAGGTGGGATTACCCAGCATCCACAGCTGCAAAAAGGAATCTCTCTGAAAATAGCATCCTATCAGAGAAACAGCCTTTCTGGGAAAGCAGTAAAGCTGAAGTGTGTCTGCAGTTGGGCTGCTGAGTCAGGAACGCTGTCTGGGGAAAGAGCTCAGCCAGGGCAGAACGGAGAACAAACAAGGAGTTAAGTCTTTTCTATCAGAAAGCATCTTTTGGAGAAAAGCTTTGTTTTGACTGACTCCCAGTGAGGTGAGGGAGTGTAGCCCAGAGGGGTGATTGCCTCTGTTGCTCAGCTCTGTCTGAGACTGCGGGGACAAACGAAAGCAATCCACTGGGGGACTGGACCAGGAGAAAGCCTGATGAGGCAAACACCTGTCCTAATGTGAGCTAAGAGATGGCAAAAACCTCCCTTATTAGAAAAGCAGAAGGGCCGGACGGTGGTGGCGCACGCCTTTAATCCCAGCACTCGGGAGGCAGAGCCAGGCGGATCTCTGTGAGTTCGAGGCCAGCCTGGGCTACCAAGTGAGTTCCAGGAGAGGCACAAAGCTACACAGAGAAACCCTGTCTCGAAAAAGAAAAAAAAAAGAAGGAAAGAAAAGGAGAAGGTTGATTTTCAGTCTGTACACAAACCACACAGACCCCCAAAACAGAAACAGACAAAAAGCCCCTACCTTCAGTAGCAGGGAAAGCTGTCACTGTAGTGTCGGAAATGTTTCTGGGGCAGAGGGGATAAACTGAGACCAAACTAGGAACTGACAGGTAGATACTCTCTGAAGAAACAGATAACGGACAGATTCCTCCCAAGAAAGGTGCTAGAGTTTGAGGTAAATTGGAGTGGGGGACAAAAGCCCCTATTTTCAAAGGCAGCTAGCAGAGGAGCAGAACCACAGCCTGAGTTATCTGAAGCTCTGTATCTGGGGGTTAAGGAACAGTGAAAGACTCTGAAGGAGCTATGGAAAAATTCTGTTGTAAATGTTTGTTTTTCACTGGCTGAGGCAAACACAAGCCCCAAGGGAAGCTGGTAAAAGGAATGCCGGATTCAATTGCATGTTATCGAGGCAGGTGCAGGTTCTGATCCGGGGCCACTGTCTGATGAAAGAGAGACACATCTTAAAGCCAGCTGAGGAGAAAACAGAAATCTCCCAATGTCCCGTAATCAAAAACATAAAGCGCTTGATTCAAATCTCCCATTGCTAAAGCAAAAACTTTGAAAACCTCCCCGGTAAAAGAAGGCAGAAATCTCCTGACCTCCCATAGTTGAAAACTCAAAAAGCTTGGTTCAAACGTCCCAGGCAAAAAACTTGGAAAGCAAGACCAGTAAAAGTCAACTAAAAGTTGACTTTCAGACCTTAAAAGAACTATGGGAAATGAAGTCCAAAAGCTAGCTTATAACAACAAACTGCTATAGAGAAATGCATTCTGGGAAAGGTACTTTTTCAGGTGAAGATGGCAATGCTGTCCAAAAACTGTTTTTTCAGCTCAGAATCAAGTTTCTTCTCAAAGCAATGCTAGAACGCTTAATCTTACCTCTTGAGGTCTCAGGTCAGACAAAAAGCTACCTATAAGAGCAAACAAGCCACTTTAAAATCCTTAAGACAAGGGAAAGCAGTTTATACACTGAACGTGGTTTTAGATATGAAGAAACGTATGGGAAATTTTAAAAAGTTCTTTACCTCTTAAACAAACAACCCGCTGAATAATTCCTTTGCAAATCTTATAAGAAGACAAGGAAATGAGCATTCAAAAAGAAATGACTGCTTTATAGATGAGAAACAAACTTCAGAAAATCTCTTAAAAAATAGTTGCTTCACCTGAAAGTTCCTTATAAGAAATCAATGCTAAATATCACAGCTGCTAACAATAACATCAGGGGTTAAAGCTAATGAAGTGAAAATACTAAATCCTGAAAATGCTTTTCCTCTGAGTAAGCTAATGAAGGATATGTTTCGTGAAAGAACACCTATGTTCTTGACTCCTTTCAATAGTAGCAGTTTTGGTGAAAATGTTGGGCTAATAAAAATCTATCAGAAGCATCAGCATGTTATCATGGATAACTCATGGAAAATACAGCTTTAAAAAAAATAAGAGGGGAAATTGTATCAGAGTTTGGTGATGAGTGTAAAAAGGAGCTAAAACAATGCTCTTGATATTAAGGTTCCATCTTGCAGTCTGGGGACAGTAGAAAAATAAAGAGGCTTCCAGACAGCTGAGAAGTTTGAGACCATTTTAACTAAGTTTCAGCAATGTTTTCAGACCTGATGGAAGTTGCAGGTCTGGAAGCCCATTCCAATTTAGACAACTATCTTCTCCTGTTAGGAAACTGTCTGTTGAAACAGAATATTCTTTACAAGGTTTTTCTTCTCTTCTCTTCTTTTTTCTTTCTTTTGGGTTTGCTGTAAACTGAGATAGCTCTTAACAGAGTTGTTATAAAACATCTGAAATGCATAGCAACAGAAGTCACTAAGTTTCAGAGTTAAGAGAGAGCCATTAAAGAATTAAACTCCTGTTTCTCAAGAACTTTCAGAATGATAAGCTCTGAACTTTAGAAATGATTGCATACTTTCTGTCTGGTTAAGAGAATCTTTCGAATAAAGATAGTGATAATAATTAGGAGTAAGAAGTAGAAAATTATTTCTGTCTTGTTAGAAGATGTTAAATCTCTTCTAAGTGCTACAAAATCTTTAGGTGTTTGCTAAGTTAGACATATGCTAATAGTTGCCCTATACAGAGTTTGCTTAATATGGATTTGTAAAGTAGATCTACAGAATTTGTTTAAGTCATGCAGAAAATGGCCATGATGTAGGTTTAAATAAGAAGTAGATAAGTTTTAGATCTGTAGAATTTCTTTAAGAATATAAACTTGTAAGAAGTATCTAAGGTAGTCCTAAGACATGTAGTAATAAGCTTGTAAGAAGTGTGTAAGTTCAAATAAGAATATAAGAAAGATGCTAGTTGTAAATATAACTTTAAATAAGAATATAAGAAGTAAGTGTATAAGTAAATAGATAAATATATGTTCATTAGTTCTATGTGAGTTTGTTAAAAAGTGTAAATGTTAAGTGTGAGTCTCTGCTTAAAGTGTATTGTGAAAAAACCTGAGATACAGAAGGAGTGTCCTAAAAGACTGCAAAGCAGTCAGTCTGAGCAGTTTTCAAAAGCTCCAGAAGCTGCTAAAAAGCTAAGAATTGCAGACTCCAGAACCAGCACAAGGCATCTGAAGGTGAGGTCCATGGAAAAATCAATGCAACACAGAAAAACCTGAGCTAAGAGCAAAAAAATGGTGCAGTTTAAAATACTACTGTAACAAAAAATGTCTCCAGCTTGAGAATGAAAGTTGCAGAGACGCTTGTTAAACAAAAATGGTTAACTGCAAAAAGTTTTGGTTGTAAAACATCTCTTCATATTTGGAAGTGAAAGTCTGATACCAGAATTTACTCTTTTTGAACTTTTTGAACATAAAACATGAGATAAAACTACAAAAAGGTCTTGGTTATGGATTTCTTCATATTTGGAAGGCTGGTACCAGAATTTATTATTTGTATTTTGGGACTTAAGAAATGAAATGAACAATAGTGATTTCATTGCAATGGGACAATTTTGAATTTACTTCTAGTAATGACTTAGGAACTGTTTTCTGGAATTATTCGTGTTAAAAATGGAACTATTTAAATGAAGAAATTTATTGTTTTTACCTAAACTCAAGATGCAGTTTTGTGTATGCATATATGCTAGTGATTCATGAATTCTTTTGTGTCAAAAAATGGACCTGTTTTATGGAACTGTTTATGTAAAAATGGAATTACTTATGGAAGTGGTTTTGTGTTACAAAAGGGACTGTTTAAATGGAAAAGTTTGGGTTTTCTAACTAGGCTTGAGATTTTTTTTTTAAGTTGTAAAAAGAAGAAGTAATATTCCTTAGTGTATATAATTAAAAAAACATTTTGTGCCGGGCGGTGGTGGCGCACGCCTTTAATCCCAGCACTCGGGAGGCAGAGGCCGGCGGATCTCTGTGAGTTCGAGGCCAGCCTGGGCTACCAAGTGAGTTCCAGGAAAGGCGCAAAGCTACACAGAGAAACCCTGTCTCGAAAAACCAAAAAAAAAAAAAAAAACATTTTGTTATTTGAGTGGATTAATGTTATGTTTTGTTAGTAAGAAATGCAAATGGGTATACTAAGGTTGCTTTAAAGTGTAAAGAGCTTTTTTATTAAGAAACTGCTTTTGGGCCGGGCGGTGGTGGCGCACGCCTTTAATCCCAGCACTCGGGAGGCAGAGCCAGGCGGATCTCTGTGAGTTCGAGGCCAGCCTGGGCTACAAAGTGAGTTCCAGGAAAGGCGCAAAGCTACACAGAGAAACCCTGTCTCAAAAAAAAAAAAAAGAAAGAAAGAAAGAAAGAAACTGCTTTTGGATGTTTTGCTAAAAGTTTTGAAAGTATTAATAGTTATGGGTTTTTAGGAACTGTGTAAGTTTGGGTTTTTCTATCTAGGTTCAAGATTTTGTTTAAAAATTTATGAAGAAAAGGAGGAGTTATGAGTGAATTAAGGTTGAATGCGTGTTTGCAGAAATTATGTTAACCTATTGGTATTAGAACCCTGATTTTGTGAAGTTAAGGAAATATTTAAGTTTGTGTTTACATCAGAAGTTTCTCCTACATATTAGCAAGAAAATTCAAATGGTTCTATTAACACTTAAAGTTGTAAGACTGAGAAAATTCTAACTATGTATAGCACTATTTGTTAGTTCAAATGGTTCCATTAAATTGGGTTCCATTGCTTTAAGTTGTAAGATTGAGAGAAGTGAAACTATGTACAGCAATATTTGTTAACCTGTTAATGGTAATGATGAAGCTAAGCTTTAAATTTGTAGTTGCCTTAAGAGATTTTGGTTTAGAAATGACTGGATGCAGCTAAGACTGCTGTAGTCACCTTGGACCCAATCCAAAAAGAGAAATGCCATCTTTATCATCCTCTACTCCCATACTGGGAGGTGTAACAGCTATGGAGATTGCTGTGAGCTCTTAACAAGTTATTTTTTATATATTAAGAAAGAGGGACCTGTGGGAGCCCATTTTCAGGTTCTTAGTGGCTTCACTAAGCAGGTCTGAATAGAGAGGATGATTGGACCACAGGCCTGAGAACTAGATGTCTGAGATGGTCTGCACTTGGCTGTGCTGGGTGGAGGTCTTTTGCTCCACTCCCTTGGCGTTTTTATAAATACCTTAGGGCAGAGACAGTCAGGGCCATTGGACTAGGTTCCAGGCCCTCTGGATGCTATCCTGTATTTTCTATCTGTTTATCTCCACAATCTAAACCCTTCTATCTAATATTTCCTGCTGCTCTCACTCAAGAAAACTCTGGGGAACTGTGGGGTTGGTGGGTAGCCGCCCCACACAACCCTAAACCAGAACTTCAAGTATGACCATTGGGAAACAGTGCATTGAAGACAAGGGAGATGGGGGGGCACCCAGAGGGGACAAGGGTCCTACCTGTGAGCAGAGTGATCAGCAGAAGAAGTTTCATCTTGAGTGTGTGGAGGACTCAAGTGACTTCTCTCTTTATAGTTCTGTATGTAATCCTAACACCTGGGAGGCTGAGGTAAGTTTTGGCTAGAATGTTGAGTTGGAGGACATCCTGAGCCAAAATTATATAATCCTGTGGATAAAAAAATAATAAGGGCTGGAGAGATGGCTCTGCAGTCAGGAGGACTTGGTGAGCTTGTGTGGGACCCAGGCTCAGGTATGGCAGCCACAAGGCAGCTCACAACTGCCTATGACCCCAGTTCTGGAGGACCAGACCCCTCATCTGGCCTCTGTAGGCACTACTCACACACAGTTCATAGACACACATGCAGGTAGAGGGCTCATATATGTAAAATAAATTTCAATATTTTTTAAAAGGAAAAAAATCACATTGTCAGAACACCTTAGGCCTAAGGAAATGGGTGCCAGGACAATATGGCAGAGACAGAAGGGGCTTCATTGCTCGTGTGGGTGACTGTAGTGGATGTTCCTAAGGAGTCATCTGAGCTGACTTAGAGGGTAGAGTGGCACCTGTTGTGGACATGGGGTGAGCATGGAACCCAAACCCACAGGCTGTTAGACCCCAACAGGAACCCCAAACCAGAACTTCAGGTGTGACCAGCAGGGCCTGCACATTGAAGACAAGGGAGTTGGAGGGGACACTCAGAGGGGACAAGTGTCCTTACTGTGAGCAGTGCGACCAGCAGAAGCAGTTTCATCCTGAGTGAGGAGAGGACTCAGTGACGTCTCTTTAGAGTCCTCTAGCTGTGCTCTGACAGTGTCCAGTCAGCACACGGGCCTGTGACTACTATGTGTGGCACAGAAGTAGAATATGTGCACCCTCACACACAGTCCCAACCTGCAGAGCTGCTGTAGATGGTGACAGAGCCTGAATCAGTGCTGTCACAGAGGCAAAGAGAAAGGGCTAGCTCAACACCCCAGCCAGCTCAAGTCAGTGACTGGCAAAGGGCCAAGTCCCTTCGCTGTGGATGCTTTGAGGGCATAAGAAGATATAGATATTGCCTGGGCTTGGGACTGAGGGATGCTGACAGTGACATCTTGCCCCAGGTAGGAGTGGCTGGACCCTACAATCCTCCAAGTTAACTGTATAAAGTAAGCACTAAGTCTATCCCAAGAACCTGGCACAGCCTATGGTGTAGATATAGTTATAAGTTTGATTTTTATTTAATTAACAAATTAATTAATGTGAGTGTGTGTATATGACACAGAGAGAGGGAGAGAGAGAGGAGAGAGAGAGAGAGAGAGAGAGAGAGAGAGAGAGAGAGAGAGAGAAATTCATACACACAAGTGGAGGTCCGAGGACAACTCCGTAGAGTCAGTTCTCTCCTAAGTTTAAATGGGTTCCAGGAATTGAACTCAGATCTACAGGCTTGTATCTTAGGCTGCATGTTACTAGCCCAGAAACTGCATTTGAAAACTGGGAATGTACCCATATGTTGGTGTTAGTATATGCCTTTAACATCAGCACTTATGGGGCAGAGGCAGGCAAATATCTGAGTTCAAGGCCAGCCTGGCTTACAGAGTCAGTTTCAGGACAGCCATAAATATACAAAGAAACCCTGTGTTGAAAAACAAAAAACTAAAAACCAATAAATAAGGAAAAAATAAAGAAAGACATAATGACAGAGAGAGAAAGAGAGAGAGAAAGAAATAGAGAAAGAGAGAGAGAGAGAAAGAAAGAGAAAGAAAAAAGAAAGAAAGAAAGAGAAAGAAAGAAAGAAAGAAAGAAAGAAAGAAAGAAAGAAAGAAAGAAAGAAAGAAAGAAAGAAAGAAAGAAAGAAAGAAAGAAAGAAAGAAAGACAGCAAATGCCTTCACAACAGATGTGCCCACAGGCCAATATGCTGCAGGCAATCCTCCAGCTGAGACTCTCCCTACCCAGTGTGTGAGGCTGACGATCAACCATTGCAGGGGCTGGAGAGATGGATCAGCACTTAAGAGCACTTTCTGCTCTTGCTGAGGACTGGAGTTCCATTCTCAGCAACCACATGGTGGCTTTGTGAACAGTGTCTGCTGGGCCAATGACCTCTGGCCTCTGTGTCTAGTCTTCTCTCATGTACCCTCTAACTTATCAGGCCAGCACCTCCTTTTTCCGACATCTCACCTTTTCCCCGGATAAAAACCGTGTAGGGGTGAGTCGAGTTGGTTGTCTCCACACTCAAGCTCCCCCTACCCTTCCAGCAGGATTCTGGACAGCCACTACCAGCTACTCCCAGTCACTGCGCCTGGGCAGACAGCTCTAGCTGCATCTGTTGCTCACCAGTCCTGACCTTGGGAGAGGCGAGGCATGAGCTTTGGGACATCAGTGTCAATAGGGGTGGGGATAAGAAAGCAGAGGACTGGGCAGCTGTTCACTAAAGGAAAAGAGAACAAGAACCACGTTTGCCGTAAACCAGGCAATGAGACATCTTTTTCCTAAATTGTGTTGAGGAGGAAACCAGAGATTAACCTGGCTTTGCCTACGGGGTCAGGTGATATTGAAAGGTAGAGGAAATGTAATGTTCACATTTGTTTGTTGTAAAAAGTTAGGCTGTTGTGTACTTTATCAGGACAATTATCCTGTGGCGTGTGTTTAGGCACAGTGGAGATTCAAAGGTCACAGGATGTAATCCTGTCTTCAGGTCATTTACTCTCAGTCCAGTTTGGTTTCTTATATCCCACTTCTTATGATGAGCTCACAGCAGAAGTGCTTTGAGTCCAGTATTTTTAGGGCCAAAGTATTCCTTTAGTTCCCATGTGACACTGCTTCTCTCTCTCTTCTCTCCCTTCCTACCTCTCTGTCTTCTCTTTCCTTCCCTCCCTACCCCTCCTTTCCTCTCCCTGCCTTATCTCTTCCGTCCCCTCCCCTGTCTGTCTCCCTTAACACCCTTCTTTGTATCTAAGGCTGAGTTTTTCTTCTACTGTTTGGGTTTTTTTTTCCATTTACGGTTTCTTTGTGTAATACTCCTGGCTATCCTGGAACTGGACTTTTAGACCAGGTTGGCCTTGAACTTCAAAGATTTCCCTTCCTCTGCATCTGCATCACACTGTGCTGGGGTAAAAGGAGTGGCCAGGCTCATCACCCACTATCCAAGGTGCTCCGCTAATGGCAATGTCTTTCCCATTAATCTTCAGTTTCCAGAGCTGGATGGAATGATGTTCTCTGAGGATCTAGTTATGTTCCATAGACAGAGAATACAATCACCATAGCCGAGTTCTTTCTATGGGTGCTTTATTAGAGGGCACATTGTATAGTGAAGACCACCAGGCAGGCAGGGATGGTGTCCCAGTAACTGAGGTGATAAGTCTAACAGTTATCTCGTTTGTTCTGCTTGTTGTATGGAGTATTGAAGAAGCAGATGGCGGCCTGGTGGGCACAGTTGCAGATGAAGGCCTCACAGGGGTTATTTTCCTCTGGAGAGAAACAAAAAAGAAGTTGAGTGGAGCCCATGACCCTGCTCCCTAAGATTTGTAACCAAAAGACAGTGGTGCATCTAACATTGGTGCAGACTCAGGGTTGAGAGACAGAGCACAGAAAGGACATTGAGTTGTCCAAATTGCTGGAACACACTGATAATAAAAATATCAATTGTTGTGGGCTGGGGAGACGGCACAGTTGGTAAAGCGGTAAAAGGTCATGAGGACCTGACCTAAGATGCCCAGCAACCATGTAAAAATCAAGGGATGCTTGGGGCATCTGTAACTCTATTGGGAAGTGGGAAGCATGTATTCCCAAAACTTGTTGGTCAGTCAGGCTAGCTAAAAGTGAGTGTCATGTTTAGTGAGAGACCCAGCCTCTAAAGACATAGTGGAGAGTGACTGAAGAGGACACAGGATGTAAACTCATTCTTATACATAAAAATAAATAAACATGGATATTTAATCCTAAAACCAGGAAAACCACAAATATCAGCTACCACTTGAAAATTATATGATAGAAAACAATCCTCCTGCCTCCACCTCCCAAGTGCTGGGATTACAGGTGTGCACCACCACACTCAGTTCATGGATTCTGGAGGTGGAACCCAGGGCTCTGTGCATGCTAGGCAAGCACTCTAGCAACTGAGGTATATCCCAGCCCTCTGAATCCTCACCTGTAAAATGGGAATGATAAATCTTGCCCTGCACAGGTGTTTACTCCAGTATCTGACTTATACAATGACGCAGCTCTCCATTGTCTAGTCAGTATGGAATCAATATAACACAGCAGCTAACAGGAGAGGCTTTGGGCAGGCAAGATGGCTCAGGGAATAAAGGCCCTTGCTACCAAGTCTGAACCCGAGTTCTATCCCCAGGACTCACATGGTCAAAGGTGAGTACAGATTCCTTCAGAGATCCACAGGTGTGAAGTTGCACAGGCATGCCTCACCCACAAATATATAAAATCTTTAAAGGTTTTTTAAAAGGCATTTGAATGATGTAGATGATTGATCCAGAATCAAATGTCATCACTTCTAAGCTGTTGACCTTGGGCATCTGGCCCCAGCTTCCTCATCTTCCCCATCAAGGACCTCTGTTGTGTGATTTTCTGATTGTGTTCTGACAAATAAAGCTTGCTTTGAGTCAGAAGGTGGAGCTAGCCACTACTGACCATAGATTTGGAGGATTGTAGACAGAGAGGAGTCAGGAAGAGGTAAGGTGGGGCAGAGAAAGGAGTTCAGCCCTTTGAAATGAAGGAATGGGAGAGGAAGAAAGGAACTGGCAGCTTCTCCCTGTTCTCTCATCTTTCAAGTTCTTGCCCCAATATTTGACTCCTGGTTTTTGACTGATAAAGATTAATTAGATTAACACATCAAGTGGTGTTCAAATTTGGGGGCATGAATTCAGGAAACAGCCGCATGCCCAAGGCTTTGCAGCCACAGGCATCTGCCAGAGCTGTCTGTGGGAGTGGCACCTGCAGGAGTCGCCATGTGGCGGTCTGACTTTTCTTTTTCTTCCCCAAGCCCTCTGAGTGGGTCTGGGATTTTCCTGTTGCAGCCTTTCTACAGCAATCTACACAAGCCCAAAACCTGACAGGCACTTTGGTTCCCAAAACCACTGGAGTTCATCCCTCACCCCTGGCCAGCTCTGCCTTCAGGCAGCTCTGTGTTTTCACTTCCTGCCAGCCACACATGCTGCTTTTGTACGTTCCCTTGTATCTGCCTTTCAGACTGCTGGCTCTTTGGCTACTTTTTCCTGTGGGTTGTGGACTTCCCCTGGACCCTGTCCTCTGGCTCCTGACATCTGACTGGGGCAGCTGTTCTCAGCCAGTTGTGCACCACCTGTGTTCTCTGTCCAGATGTGCTGCACAGCAATCTTAGCCTCACACTTCAGTGTCAACATCAGCAGATTTGGTGAGACAACTGAGACTTTTTAAAGGGGGGAATTAGTTAAAGAAAGAGAGAGAGAGTTTTTTCCCAGGATATAAATTAGGAAACACTATTATGATGGAGGGAATTAGGTCTGTGTATGATTCCACAATGGATGTTTTAAAAATAGAAGCCCATGAACTATGGACTGGTTGCTTTGGAGCCCCCATGGGACTGAACTTGGCCCTCTGGATACGGAAGACATGTGTTTGGCTCAAAGTGTTTGGGGGGTACCCAGGCAGGGGGATCGGGATCTGTCCCTGGTGCATGGGCAGGCCTTTGGGAATCTGGTGCCTGTGGTGTGATGCCTTGCACGGCCTTGGTGCAGTGGGAAGGGGCTTGGACCTGCCTAGGCTCAGTGTGCCGGGCTCTGCTGATTCCCAATGGGAGACCTTGATTTGAGGATTGTGGGGATGCGGGGTGACTTGGGAGAGAGGGCTGGGGGGTGGGAGGAGGGAGAAGGGGGGATCTGTGGGAGGTATGTGGAGTGAGTCGAAAATTTCTTAATAAAGAAAAATAAAAAACAAACAAACAAACAAACAAATAAATAAATAAAATGGAACAATTAAATGAGGGGATAATTAACTTAGCTGTGATTTACATAATGTTAATTGTAAGCATTATCAGCTTAGTAATTCTTGCTTTATCCCTAAAAATGTTAGTTGATATCAATGCCAAATATCAGAAATTGACTGATAATATGCAAGCCTTACAACTACTTACTAAAGAAAAACATGTAATTTTGAGTGATACTTTAGAAGACTTAGAAAAACTCATTAAAACAGATCATAGAGATATTCAGACAAAGACAGAGGAATTTAAGGGAGAACCAATGTTACCATCACATTATGAAATTAGAAAGAAACAGCCTAAGGTTATCAAAAAACTCAACCTTAATTTATCCAGTCACCAAACAGGAAGAACTGTCAAATGACAGGAATCCCCAAGGCTGTGTAAGAGCTGACTGGATTCCTGTGGAAATGTTAGATTTGAGGAGATTTAAGGAAGAGATAGTCTCATATGGTAGCATTCTCCTTTTGTGAGGCAGATATAAAATTCATGGTCAACTAGTAACAGTATTATCCCACAAAAATGGAAAGACTTGGTTCTAAAAGTATTGGAACCTGGTCCTCAATTACAGTGAAGGACCTGGTGGGAAGATGAGGTTGAGGCCATTGAACAATGAAGTAGGGATAGGGGTATAGAAATTTCCAAGACCAGCTGCTTGGAGAGGGTGATTATGCTGATGTATAAAGACAGTCTATATATGATGACCATATCTTGGCTCTATGCCATGAAGCAGCTTTGGATGCTTGGGACAGAGTTGAAGAACTTGGAAAGAAAACTGTGTCATTTACTACTAAAGTTGTACAGGGCCCAAAAGAAAAGTTCATGAGGATTGACTTCATCTGCAAATAGAATGATACCAAATCCATAAGCTAGATAAATAATAATTGAATCTTTGCATGTGAAAATGCTAATTCACAATAGAAAAGAGTAATTAGGCCTTTAAATTTAGACCAGCACCCACAGAGGAATAGCTCAGAGATACAATCAATATTGAATCTTATAACCATGTTGATGCTTGGATAGGAGAGATGATTTCTAGAGGCTTGAAGAATAATCAAAATGTCAGATGTTTTAATTGTGCTAAACAAGGTCACCTAAAAAGGGATTGTAGATAGGGCATTCCTAGAAATAATGATTTTTCTAGGACTAATACAAACAGAAAGTCTCTGCTTTCTGGAGAAGATAAAGCAAAGGCAGAACCTGGAACAATGAATGCAAATCAACAAGGCACAGACAAAGTAACTTTTGCCATTGGAAAACATCTTGGAGGGGGGATGCTTGTGGGCCCTCATGTCGAATTTGGTTTAGGCAGTCCCTATCGACTTGTGGAAATGCTTCCTAGAGCAAATTAAATACATAATGACTATTGTAAAAAAAAAAAACCCATACTGCTCTGGATTAAATAACAACTTTAGAAGATAGAACAAAATATCCAGGTAAAACCATAAAGCAAATATTTTGGCAAACTTCTATACATGATCAAAGACCAAAGTTAAAAAATATGAGTAAATGACATTGTAATTGAGGGTCTTGTAGACACCAGGGCAGATATAACAATAATGACACCAAAATCTTGGCATCCAAATTAGTCTCTTCAGGAGGTAAATGTTCAACTTTTGGGGATTGGAACTTTATCTCAGGTAAAATAAAGTCAAGATATGTCAAATGTATAGTGCCAGAAGGACAGAGAGGAAAATTAGAGCCATAATTGGCTAACATAGCAAAAGATTTATGGGGATATAATTTGTTACAGCAATGGAATGCCCAGATTAATATTCCTCCAATCTCAGGAACAAATCATAAACTAACAAATGTTTCTGGGACAAATATTAAAAAGTATTATGAAGAACAGTCACTGACCATTCAGGTTTTTCATAAACAGGGCACAAAAGCTGCTGATCTTTAAGGTTACCAACAGCCCTACCTTTAAAATAGTTAAAAGACAAACCTATCTGGGTGGACCAATGGCCTTTGATATCAGAAATATTACAGGCCTTAGAACAACAGGTACAGGGGTAGTTACATAGTCAACATATTGAAGAATCAACTAATCCTTGGAATTCTCCTATATTTGTCATTAAGAAGAAATCTGGAAAATGGAGAATGCTAATAATTTTGAGAGCCAAAAATGAAGTAATTCAGCTGATGAGCTCTCTATAGCCTGGAATTCCTTTGCCTTCTCTGTTACCTCAAGTATGGTCTATTATAGTGATTGATTTAAAAGACTGTTTCTTCACTATACCTTTATAAGAGAAGGATAGAGAAAAATTTGCCTTCACATTGCCTACTTATAATAATTCCCAGCCCATTAAAAGATATCAGTGGAAAGTTCTCCCAAAATGGATGCTAAACCGACCTAACCTGTGCCAATGTTTTTGACGACTGTCATTGGAAATATTTCATAATCAGTTTCCTCCATCTAGAATTTACCATTATATGGATGATATCTTACTAGCTGATTCAAAATAGTTACCTTAGAGAAAATGTTTGAAGAAG